ATATTCTGCACCGATGATCCAAGGAAACCGCAACCCTTCGGGTCCCTGGCTTGGGAAAATGGTACAAGTGCGGAGATGATAAAGTTGTTCAGCCTCTAACGTGGTTAGTGGGACAGATTTTCCATGAAAATAAGAGCTCTGACAGGCAAATCTGCAGGTGCCACGGTGGGATGTTAGTCGGAACCAGCAAGATTGGCACTCTTTGTACTCAGAAGCTGCACCCCTGCTGGCTATGTCACTCGTAGGAGCTCCGTGTATGAGTCAGATTTCACATTTCTATCTCTTGCACAGTGAGAATCTGCAGTCAAATCAATGTAAATATGTCCTCTGCTTCTTCAGGCACTTCCTTTACAGCTTTAATCTAAATTACCGAAAGCTAAATCTGGGCAGATCTGGAGTGGGATATTTAAGGCCTGTGTAGACTTCTTTTAAAATCTGCTATTCTAATGCTGGATTAGTTTATCACCATTGAACTGATTTTGTATCTACTCTGACACCTTTGGAATTTCCCAACAACCTGACAGTGCAAGGACTTTTCATCTTCAGATAGATCCTAATTTCATAATGTTGTGCCCGTTTTTCAGTAATCCTCAGGTTCAAAACCATTTACCCGATGAATCTGTATCTGCACTGTGTGCCTAAGGTGACAATATGTGCTGGAGGAGACCATTTGGATTTCAGCACTTTCCAAATCTGGTCACCAGGAAGGAGACTTGATCTGCCCTCATCCTTATCCTCCACCTCCAAATGAAGTTCTCAGGTTGCTGTGCTGCGGTAATCCTTCCATGACAGGAGTGAGTATTAGTCTGTGTGGAGAAGCAGCCCAAGCATTTTTACTCCCTTGGGATCATTTTGCAGCAGCCTTTGGAAGTCAGAATCATCCCACATTTGTCTTTCAAGTCAGAAACGAGATACGACAGTGTTTAATTTTCTGTTTGTTTTGGATTGTGTTATTTGGAAAGTGGAGGGTGTCTTTTCACTTTCCATGCTGCCCCTGCACAAGGACACTCCAGCTGAACCATCTGTCCCTGGGCCAGGGGTGTTCCAGTGCAAAAAGGATCAGTCACTTCAGGTTACAGAAGATGGTGAATTTTCCTAGAATTTTCTTTCCATCTCTCTCTCTTTTGCTTTGTTGCTACTCCAGTACTGCCAAAAAAGACTTAATCCTAGGGACTTACTAAAATAACTTCTGACAAATGGACAACTTAATCTCTGGAATAGTCTGGACACCGCATGCAGTGACAAGTATTTGAAAATGTTTCATGGATAGAGATATTCCTGCCTTGCTTTTTAAATAGAAGCAGTCTTCCTTTTTTTGACACACTGAGCAATACACATGGCATCCTAAATCTGTTTTGTCAACTGAGTCCAGGCTTCTTAAAAATATGCAGCAAGATTTTAATAGAGCTCATCCCATCATACACAAGCAGACATCCTGCTGAGTCCTCAAAGGCTGGATATTCCCCATGCACAGCCCACATGCAACTGCTCCTGTCTAATTGCAAGCAATGACAGCCTCCCATGGGCTCCTTTCCTCTGACACCACGGCACAGCCTTCTCTGTGCAGCTCACCAGCTCTAAAAACTGCAAGCCTTTCTGTTCACACTGTCGGTGCCTGTCCAACTGCACCAAAACACATTCTGATTTTCTTCCTGGAAAGCAGCTTTTCCCAGTCCTGAAATGCTTGCCTGTAGATGCAAATTCAATGTCAGCTTTTTGGAAGGTTGCAGAAAGCAGTGTCACTTGTGTGTTAGCATTAGAAGTAGGAGCTTAATTTGCTGAACTTCCAGATGGGCGGGCCAAGATTAATTCTGTGGGGTTTTATGGTCAGATAAGCGTAATTTTCACCAGCAGCCTGCTATGCTATTTACTGTACAATAGCAAGAGGATTGCTACATGGTCTGGGGGCTGAGCTGACAAGACACAATGGATGGCAAAGAGAAGTCACATTTGTTGGGGATTGTGAGTTACAGCCAAAATCCTGATCCTGCACCCTAAAATCAGGAAAGCTCCAAAAGCATCAGAATGTTAAAAAGAAGAGTCTGTATTTCTTGTTTGCTGGGCTATTTGGAACTTTTAGGAGGCACTCTGTCACATTCTCAGCATTTTTCTGAAGCTTTGACAAAGTGGTGTCTGCACCGAAAGGGATTAATGTGAAACCAAGGATGGCTCTGCAGTTACCTCAAAGGACATGAGGGTTTCATCTTTGCTTTAGAATGCAAAAATAATAATGGCTTCCACAGCATGCTGGAGAGTTGGGCCTGTAAGAAAGACATCAAAGACCTTACTGCTCCCACCCACTGCTGAGTGGGCACCCCTGAGCACGGCAGATGGCAAATGCTGAGACAGCTCCAGCGCGCACTGAGGCTGCCAGCAGGGGCACGGGCTGAGGCAACAGCAACAAGAGAATGGGCAAAATAAGCACAGGTCCATCCCAGCTCTCCTTTATCCTGGTCTTTTACAGAAACTTGACAGTCCTTTAGAAAAGCAGTTTGTGTTTTTAGGGTAGGGACAACATGGCAACCCATTAACAAAAAAAGATATTATGATGCCTTCCCAGAGCAACTTGTTATTTCACACTGTAAAATTTACAGCGACACAGAATAAAGCTTTAAGGTTTGACGGAAAAGCTTCAGAGGTTGCTGTTGCCAGGAATGCTCTTAGGAAGAGTTGAAGGTCCTTGGGCATATTCTGGGAGCAGAACTGTCCTGATCCCCATCAGTATCAGTCTCTAAGTGTCTTCCATTTCCTCATCTACTTCCTCAGAATCCAAGCCTTTACTTAGACTTGTTACAGGTAAACCACAACTAACTGGAATTGCAGAAGAGGTAGAACAGATTGACATAAAAACTTCATTTTTAAAATTAAGTCCTAAAGATGAGAAAGATGTCAGAAACTAGACAAAGCAGTCATAAATTCAAAGTACACACTACCATGTGAGCATGTGTATGTGTGTGTACACATATGTGTAAATATTTGAGTTAGAACAGAATACTATAAACCAGAGGAAAATTTTTCCAAGAAATAAATAAATTTTACTGCAAATGTGCTGCACTGGAGACCTAAGTGGCCTCATTTCCTGGACTAGGTAGTCATGAAGTTGTTTTTAAGTGTGAAGGACACAGCTATAATCCATAACTTTCAGCCTAAATGATTGCATTGCTCTGACAACATATTGCTTCTGTGCTCAGCTGGAAGTGTGTCACATTTGTGCACCACCTTTTTAACACCATTTTCTCTTTTATTTTTTGAGCAGAGACAGCATAAAATTCAGAGGTTAGTTGGGTCACCTCTTAGTCTTCAAAAGAATGGCTTTGTCACTGCCTGTGATCCTTATGTTATTAACAGGACACAAAAGCTGAGAGGAGAGGCTGGCAGACGTGGATGAGAGGTGGGTAGGAGGTGTGAAGGAGGAGAATTTGGAAATCACTCCCTGTCTTTTTATGCCAGAGGGAACCAGGCAGGGAAGCTGGCTGGAGGATAGGCTGTTACCAGCTCTCATGATTTTGAGGGTTGCATAATTATTTTGTTAACATAAAGACAAGACTTTGTGACTCATGTAGTCCCAGAAGACTGAGTGATCTTTTGAAGGCTAAAAAGGGGCAGCATCTCCCAGTGTGATGGCACATGATCAAATAAATCCTACTGAGGACAAATGTCTGGGTATCTTCTTTGGGGTTTACCATTCCATGTCCTACTTTGTCTCCCAGCAGCAAAGCTTTCCCAAGCCACTTGAGGCTTTGAGTCCTATTATGCAATGCCTATGGAGAGCTCAGCAGTGCAGAAGAGAGTACTGAACAATTTAAAGCTGAAATAAACCTAGGCAGAGGTGCAGCCAATGAGAGTAAAAGCACAGGAATGCCTTGGGCCCCGAAAAAGCAGATGAAACAGTAATTATTCCCTTTCTCCTTCAGATGTCATTAAAAACTCTGTGTCAGCGCAAAGGTGTCCCCAAGCAAACACAAAACCCAGCTGATTGCAGAGATCACGCAATTTCTGAACACTCCTGGACAGCAGGGCAACACCAGTTCAGAAACCCATCTGCCACAACCAGATACAGCCTGTTCACTAAGTATAAACAGGGCTGAATAGAGAGCCACAGGGATGTAGTTTAAGCAAATATTTGGAACCTTCTCTGTGTGTGTTAAGACCTGCTGTTTTGTCTCCTGCTGTGTAAATATCAATGAATGACTGCCCCCTTTGTACTTTTCACAAGCCAACTTTAACTCACAATTAATAAAGGCATCTGGTTCTTTCAGTCATTTCATTTTACTCAGAGGAGGCAGATATGACATAGTTTTGCTTTCAATAGGTGCCTGGAGAGTTGCTCAGATAAAAGAAAGGGCAGAGAAAACACTGCCTAATCACATTTCTCCTGTAATCGTAGCTCTCGGGGATCTTTTTTTTCAGCCATGTATAACTGTCACTTTAGCCTACAAGAAACAGACATTTTCCTTCACCATGGGCTAATGTAGGCACCCTTGAGATAACAACAGTCATAGACCTGAGTCATAAAAACCCCACATCAATGTAATGGTGGCACGTGATATATAACGTAAGATACAGCAACTATAACATAATAATACGGCTGATTTAGAAATCCCCACCTGGCCGATCTAGAAACACTCATGGCCGCTCTCATTTGTGCCCTGCGGCCAGTGTGCCGCGGCGGGACGGTGTAAACTCAGCTGAGCAGGGAAGCTGAACTGTCCATGCCGCCGGATCTCGGCATAGCCCACCTCCCTTTGGCCGGCGCAGCTCCCTGGTGCGCTTTCTGTCGGGATCCAGACGTGGGGGAGGCCCCGGTGGGCAGAGAGCCCTGCCCATGCCGGGTTCCCGCAGCGCGGAGCCCGGAGGGGCCGGGCGCGGTGCGGGGCTGGCCGTGCGCCACGGGCGGGCGGGGCGCGGTGCGGCCAGCGGGGAGGGGATGCGGGGCGGGGAGGCGCTGCTGCCCGCGGCTTTGCCTTCCTCCCTGCTGCCGGACACGGGGCGGTGGCGGCATGTGGGCAGCGGCCCCTCTCCTGCTCCTGCTCCTGCTCCTGCTCCTGCTGCCGCTGGCGCTGGCGCGGCTGTGGCGGCGCGGGGCGGCGCGGCTGGAGCCGGCCGGGCGGGCCGTGCTCATCACGGGCTGTGACAGCGGCTTCGGGCACCTGCTGGCGCTGCGCCTGCACCGCCTGGGCTTCACCGTGTTCGCGGGCTGCCTGCGCCCCGGCGGGGACGGCGCGCGGCGGCTGCAGCGGGAGGCGGGCGGCGCGGGCCGGCTGCGCGTCCTGCGGCTCGACGTGACCCGCGCCCGCGACGTGCGCGCCGCCAAGGAGCTGGTGCTCAGCCACCTGCCCGAGCGAGGTGAGCCGGGCCGCGGGCGGGGAGCGGCGCCTCGGGCACCTCGGGCACCGGCGCCTCGCTTCGCCCGGGGCTGCGGCCGGGGAGCTGCCCGAGAGGGCCGGCTGGGCTGCACGGCCCAGCGAGGGCAGCGAGCGCCGCCGCCGATGGGCTGGGGGCGCCCACCGCTATTGGTGAGGACGGCGGGATTTTATCCAAAACCCCTCGGTGCGTACGCGGAGCGGGGCCTGTCCGAAGGTGCCGGCACTGTAGAGCGGGTGCGCTGCTCGGGGAGCTGCGCCTTTCCAGCGGGACAGGAACTCCCCGAGAGGGGCGTGCCGGAGCCCCTCTGCGGGTACCCGAAAGCACGAGCGGCAGAGAGAGCGCAGAACAGCCGTGCAGGCATGCGAGCGATGGGACTGATGCTTTTCTGAGCATGACTTGTCAAAGAGGAAATAGATACAAGAAATGCAGCGAGGGCAGCTGCCGTGCCATACCAAAGCAGCTGCTTCTTGGAACCACTTGGGGTTTGTCAAGCTAGTCCCTGGAGAGGTTACTGCAAGGGAAATGTGTCAATTATACACCCTACAGGGAGTGTGCAGCCAGGGGAATGGATAGACTTAGCTCCAGAATAATTGCAGACAACCTAAATCCCTCCAGCACATGTGACACAGCGCAGGTGATGGGGCCACAGTTATCTCCTTTCCCACTGGGGCTGAAGGGTGGGAATCAGCCAGTGTAATTCTGGGATACACTTGGTGCAGAGCAGATTTCCTCAGACTCAGAAGTGAGATTCCCTCCAAATCACAAACACTTCCTGCTCATACAGGGAATAAAAGTGGAGAATGGGGCACGCAGAGAGATAAGGAAATGCAAGGCCTCTGCTTGCCTGGCTCATTAGCTCATTGGGAAGGGGATGGAATGAGACGTGAAAGAAGAAAGAGCCTAGACATTGTTCATTAAGCACATGTATTTATGGTTGATCTTGACCTTATCTTATTAAGAGGCAGAGCCTGCCCCTCTCAGGCCTTTCCTTAACCTGCACATAAACACAAATGTCTCCCAAAAGCCCTTAAAGGCTCCCTGGGCACCAGGTCACTTGGAACTCTGGGTTTCACATAATTTATCCTGCAATTCCGACAGCTCATACAGTCCTGCAGTGGTTGTGCCGGGGCTGCCATATAGACCCTGGAGTGCAGGCTCAGCACCCACCCACGCTCACACACTGTGCAGGTGCCCCCAGAGCAGCTCCAGGCCCGTGCACACCCTGGAGTGCAGGCTCAGCACTGACCCACGCTCACACACTGTGCAGGTGCCCCCAGAGCAGCTCCAGGCCCGTGCACACCCTGGAGTGCAGGCTCAGCACCCACCCACGCTCACACACTGTGCAGGTGCCCCCAGAGCAGCTCCAGGCCCGTGCAGACTCTCAGCACAGCTGGTGAGGGATGCAGCAGGCTCACAGCGTGGGCACAGCGCTGTTCCTGGGCTGGCACTCGGGCCCTCACACCAGCCACAATGGGCTGGGCAAGCACCCACATTTTACAAAACCTTTTTCATGGCTGGGCAGCTCTGCTGCTGCAGGATTTTGAGGGTATTCTGCAAAGGCAGCAAAGAATAAATAATTTCATAGATTCTTTATGATTACAGTATCATCCTTTCCAGGGACTATGCATCTCAAACAAGTAGAGCTTTTTGGCAGGCATGCTTTCTTTTAAATCACCTTAATCTGCCTTTTTCCTGGGCCCAGGATAAGTAGACTTACAAAAGACTAAAAGAGACTTTCTAATATAAGTAGACTATTCATTATGAAATGTACACAAAAATGTGTAGAATATCAGAAGAAAATCAGAGTATGAGGAATAAAATGCAGTTCTCCCTACACCTCCTATATGCTGTAACCATAACTAGCCCAAGCTCCTCATTACCTTCTCTCCCTCTGTTATACAAGAGTACAAATCCAAACCCAGTGAGAAATAGACAGGACTTCACAGCATGGTGATTTGCAATTCTATTAGGCTCTACATTAAGCCTCAGAATTTTTCTGATTTTCTTCTGTTTCAAATCAGAATGTGTCTACCTTTTCTTGCCTGCTAAGAGTGGGTAACATTAGCTAGCTGCAACAGAGGGATATTAGTTTTAGTCCCACTTCCTACTCAGAGGTTATTAAGTACTCTCTTACACATAATTATGATTTTGTATTCATGGAATTCACACATGGTACAATATTTTAGCCCAGACTTCCCATAGAAATAGATTATCCTTACAGTGAAGAGAATTTCAGCATAATATTCCAAGCAAAGGATGGTGACTCATGAATGGATGTAAATATAACTCAGGAATCTCATCTGGCCTGCTAGCACCCTGCACTGCTTAGTTTCCTTTAGTATTGGTCTGAATCTATCAGGAGAGAGCCTGTCATTTTCATTTGGGCTCAGGCTTAGAGGAGAAACTCCAAAGATCAGTGATCCCAAGAACACCTGTTGGAATTGACGGAGTGTGGTAGAATTCAGGTATTATCTGAGTGTTGGCACCAACACAGAAACAACCTGATTTTCAAAACGTTTTGCAAACCTGCAGCTGCACTAACTTAAATAGGAAGAGGATTTTAAGAGTTTCTGGGAAAAAAATCAGATGTCACTTGTATTGACAATACAAATAAGGATTTCGGATACGTCCCTTTTGGTCACCATGTTGTGAAGCAGAAATTACTGGAGAGCTTATGTGAGAGCTACTGTTCTCCAGAAAGCTTCACTAAAGTTCAGTTTCCTAATGTGATTCTTAGCTCTATGGCTGTATGTTTTAATCTTTGTTGCCAGGATCCATGTTCCCAACACAGAGATCAGTGAAAATCTCTGTGACACCCAGTCCTGCTTTCCAGTTTATTTTTTCCCTGCCTGCTGTAGCACAGTCTAACACCTCTCTTCATGAGCTGTGTTTGGACTGAGCTCTGTTTTGACAGTCTGACACACCAAACATCGCCTGCTTTTTCCAAATGTGGCTCTGCAGGGACACTGAGGAAATGCAGCATCGCTCTCCTTCAGCTGTTTAGTTCTTGTGCCTTGTCCTTCGGGATTTCCATCTCGATTTTTAGGCTACCTGAGCTGCATTTGGCTAAGCAGATTTACAGTATGTTTTGAATGCACACTTATAGCATTAGTTTTTACCACAAACATTTCAGGAAAGAAAGACCAAAGCACATTCAAGTACTCTGAATACAGAGCTGGGCAGGTTGTTTCTCAGAAAGCAGGAAATATTCTTAGAAAATAGCATGAGGGAATAATGAACTGTTTGCTACTGGGGTAGAATTTTGTAAATTGATTCAACTATACAAAGTGGCAGGAAACATTCTGGAAAATATCAGAGCATTTCCCATTTGGGAATGCCAAAATATTCTAAGAAACAATATGTTTTGCTTGAGGGCAAGTTATGTTTTGAGCTGACCAGGTCAAAAGTGTCTTTTTGTGTTTAACTTAAAAGTTAAACACAAGTCTGTTTTTGTTTAAGTCAGGCCATTTTTTCTGCTCATGGCTTTTGATTTGGCCACTACACAGAAGGAAGGAGCCATTACTTTGTGAGCTCCCAGAAATTAACAGGCTGGCCTCTCCAGCAGCCACCCAGAGGCTTTGAAGCACATGAGGCAAATAGCTGGAGAGAAAACTTAAACCTTGCAAGCTAAATTCTGAATTTCACAGTTTAGAGAAAGTGGAAGAAAATCAATTGTCTAAAGATTAATGGCTGTATTTCTGAAGGCCTGATGAAATCAGGGGTATGTGGAACAAGTGTTCTTGCTGTGCTGCACAGGGTGCAATGGCAGAAGCAAAATTACTTTAATTAGAAAAGGTAAAGCTGAAAATATCAGGAAGCAGCTTTTGCAGTGATGTTGGGCTTTAGTTTGGGTTGTGTTGGAGTTAAGTTATATAACCCTGAGTACAGAAACCTCCAGCTTTGAGCAGAAACAGATGGGGTGTGCAGTCACTCAGCCCATCTGCAGAGCAGATCATGTGCAAGTACAAAAATATAATTGATAATTAGCTTCTGCAGAGGGCTCTCTAAGCCATTGATCTGGAAGCATTTTATGGGGAGGTAAGTCCCATGGAGCTGGGTTCCATTTTAAGATGGAGAAATAAAGCCAGAGAACGATGGAAAGACACAGAAAAGGAGGCAGTGGCAGGAGGAAGGAGGCGGCCTAGGATGCCCAATTCCATGGCCAGTTTTCAAGCTCATTTCCTCTCCTCTGTCTGCTAACACCTGAGGCCATGGAAAAGAAGTGAGTCCAGAGGAAGCTGCTGCATTACTGGGACACCAGTCTGTCTGTAACTAAAGTTGTAACAGGGGTCCAGGATTGCTGGCTGACAGGCTGCTGAGCTGTGATTGATACTCCTTAAAGGATAGAGTTATCAAATTCTGGGTGCTAAATTCCTAATTTTGAGTGTTTTGCCCTGCAAATGAGACATTCACTAAAAGAAATCAGTTTCTTTCTCTGTTTAAAGACCAATTTCACTAGGTAATACAAGTAGTGTATATATATATATATATGTTAGAAAAGTTTACAGAGGTCTGCTTTACAAACTAATTTAAAAAATTTTCTGTTTCATCTCTAACTACTGTTCTGAATGAAATCTGATACTGGCACTTCTTGGTGGGGCTCTGGAAGGACCCATGAGAAATGGGTATTTCAAGATACCGTGAAATTATTGCAGTACTTTTGCTAGAGGAGATTAGAAAGAAAGGGATTCAGCCCAAAGGTTTCTGCAGTGCCTTGACTAAAGTGATCATACTTCCCCTGAGAATAACTCTGCTGCCAGCACGGCTCCAGCAGCACTGGGGCAGGGAGTGAGCTGCTCCTGCCAGTGCTCCCTGCTGCAGCACTGCATTCCATGTGAGCACTGTCAGTGCTGGGAGTGCTCCCCGCTGCAGCACTGCATTCCATGTGAGCACTGTCAGTGCTGGGAGTGCTCCCCGCTGCAGCACTGCATTCCATGTCAGCACTGTCAGTGCTGGGAGTGCTCCCCGCTGCAGCACTGCATTCCATGTGAGCACTGTCAGTGCTGGGAGTGCTCCCCGCTGCAGCACTGCATTCCATGTGAGCACTGTCAGTGCTGGGAGTGCTCCCCGCTGCAGCACTGCATTCCATGTGAGCACTGTCAGTGCTGGGAGTGCTCCCCGCTGCAGCACTGCATTCCATGTCAGCACTGTCAGTGCTGGGAGTGCTCCCCGCTGCAGCACTGCATTCCATGTGAGCACTGTCAGTGCTGGGGGTGCTCCCCGCTGCAGCACTGCATTCCATGTGAGCACTGTCAGTGCTGGGAGTGCTCCCCGCTGCAGCACTGCATTCCATGTGAGCACTGTCAGTGCTGGGAGTGCTCCCCGCTGCAGCACTGCATTCCATGTGAGCACTGTCAGTGCTGGGGGTGCTCCCCGCTGCAGCACTGCATTCCATGTCAGCACTGTCAGTGCTGGGGGTGCTCCCCGCTGCAGCACTGCATTCCATGTGAGCACTGTCAGTGCTGGGAGTGCTCCCCGCTGCAGCACTGCATTCCATGTGAGCACTGTCAGTGCTGGGAGTGCTCCCCGCTGCAGCACTGCATTCCATGTCAGCACTGTCAGTGCTGGGGGTGCTCCCCGCTGCAGCACTGCATTCCATGTGAGCACTGTCAGTGCTGGGAGTGCTCCCCGCTGCAGCACTGCATTCCATGTCAGCACTGTCAGCACTGTCAGTGCTGCTGTGCCTTTGGGCTGAAGGGCTCCAGCTCCCTGTCACTGAGCTCGAGCACAACAAGCCTCACTGCCAGTACCTTTCTGCTTGTGAGCACTGACATCTCTCTCCTTAGCACCAAAACCTGTCATTACATTGGCAAAAATGTCGTTCAAAACCACAAAATTTTAAATATACTGACCCTGCCACTGACCCTTCTTGATTGCTTTACCCAGTGTTGCAGCCATGTACCTGATTGTGGCTGATTTCAGAAGAAATGAGAGCTCAAATCTTGGAAGAAGATGCAAGACTTGGGCTCTTAAATTAGTCAGGCACTTTGAAAATAGTACCCCTTAGCCTTTAGACTGCTTAATATAATTTTCACAAAGCTGCTCATAGCACACAGTGGGATTAAAGTAATTAAAATATCATGGTACACCACATTGGCAGTAAGATGTAGTCTCCCAGATCATGTTAATCATAAATATCTTAAGACAACTGTAGAGGGAGCAATTATTAAATATCACTGAGACTTATAGGAAAGGTGTTCCTGACCATGGGAGGGGGGTAGAACTGGATGGTCTTTAAGGGCTTTTCCAACCCAAACTATTCTGTGATTCCATTTAGCCCAGATTATGGGCACAGTGGCATTCCTTCACTAAACAAACCATGCCTGCCCTTTGAAGTGGAAAAGACAAAGATGTTACACAACCATACAGTTCCTCTCAAGGCTCTGAATCAGTGGTGATGCTTTGTTATCTAACAGGCTGCTTTGCAGTTAAAGGTGTTTGCTGAGTCATTTCTCTTCCACAGGTTTCTGGGGCCTTGTCAACAATGCAGGAATATCGACATTTGGTGAGACAGGCTGGCTGCCTATGGAGACATATGAAAAATTTGCAGATGTGAATCTCCTTGGGAGCATCAGAACAACCCTGGCATTTCTTCCCCTTCTAAGGAAATACAAGGGTAATGCTAATCCACTGTTATTTAGAGTTGTAGAATAATTAGCTTACTATAATCAGGGTAATGTAACATCTATAAAAGAGGCTTTAATTGTCTTTCATTGAACTGAAATGACAGTCTCCTTCTGTGTGGCCTGAAAGAGCAACTTGATCCTGAAAAGAGGCTGAAGCCATAAAGGGAAAAAAGATCCTTAAAGATTTTGTCTTTGCAGTACACAGAAAAAAGAAGTATTTATATTTAAGGATTTCTGTCAGTGTTTGATTCAAAAAAGAGGAAGAATGTTTACCATAGATCATTAAGCCCAGGCAAGGCTTTTTAAACACTGGCCATCAGAAAACACAAAGTTACATAAGCTGCCTAATTTTATTATTTAGGCTTTACAATTTTATTGTTTGGCAATTAGGAGAGGAGGAATGACCCTACAGAGGTGAACTAGAGACACCCAGCTTCCAGTTCCAGCTCTGTGGAGCCTCTGTGACCTTGGGCAGGAAACTTCAAGTATGTAGAGGTGCATGTGGGATAAATGTATTTGCATGAACCTCCCTACATGTGGGCTTTATCCTTCTTTCGGAGAAGGAAATGTTTAATAGCCCTCTGCAGCATGGCAGCATGCCTTGGGTGCTTTGCATTTGTCCCCTCCCTGTCTCCATCTGTGTTTGGGGAGGAAGATCCCCTCTTCCTTGTCTGTTCTGGCTCGTTAGGGTGAGGATTTGTGCTCTGAGTGCAGCACCAAGCACAGGAAGGGGCAGGTTTCCCCTGGAAACCCCAGGTGTCACTGCTACACAAACTGCTGGTGAGATAAAAACATCCCTTTTTTGGGCTATTCTGCTTCTTTCTGCTTGGCTGCCTTTGGTAGATGATGTTCTGACAGAAGAAGAAAGAAACCTTTAAATACTGCAGGCTGGGTGTGTTTTTGTAGCAGAATGTGCTATTGTGTGTACCCAGTGAGTGTGTTACGTGGCCCATTACACAGGGAGACATCTCTTTTCCCTGTCATGTCCTCCTTGCTGCTGGAACTCTGTGATGCTGATCCACCAGAGGCATTCTCTGAGCCCATGAACTGCACAGGTTACTTTGAAGCAAAGGGGACCAACAGTGCGTGCAATATTAAGCACATGCATAAACCTTCAGAAGGTTTGGGTCTGGATGGCTGCACACACACCTTGGCTCAAAGGAACATTCTGTATCTGCCAGGGCTGTCAGTGTTTCCATGGTTAACTCCTGCACTCCATTCTCAAGTACCATCTATGTAGGAGAGGAGGCCAAGGCACTCTAGGAAGAATCCTGGATTTGCTGTTGCCTTCCTTGCAGGAACAGCCAGGACAGCTAAAGCTTATGTGTCTGGGGGCAGCAAGTGACCTCTCCAAGTGAAAAGCTTGACCTACAGACATTGGAGCACAATCCTGGGGAACCTGAGCTTCAGTTCCCTTAGGCACTTCAAAGAGAAGTTAAACAAAGTGTCCCACATCCTGGGTGTGAGCCCCATCCACTCAGCTACTGGACAAAGGAGGCAGAGGTCACCCCACCCATTGCTTACTGCCATGGATGTGCACCTATTCCAAGAAACACTTCAAAATTACTCATACAAGTACTCATACTTGTAAAGGGAGGTCGTGCCCTCCAGCCTAGGACTTAAACACTCTACCCTGAGAGGAGCAACATTTCCCCATATCTTTTCCAGCTGGCCAGGCCAGCTGATAGAACATCTTGATCAGCAAGCCGGTGGTTAGTTTCCTCTTACTGTAGATAAGATTTATTTGGGATGCTGTACAGGAAGGCAGGGAATCTAATTCAGAATGACAGATTTCACTGCATTGCCGTGACACCCTTTGATATCCCCCAAGCCTGTTCCATTTGGTGAGATCTGGGGCTCAGCTGTGATCTGCATCTGTGGCAGCAGCAGGGGTGCAGCTGTGTTCTCTGCACTGTCGGTGACAAGACCACCTTTCTCACCCCTGGTATTGGAATATCCACACCCAGACATTCCTTACCCCACGTAGGACTGTGTGACAGAAGTTCACAAGGAAACAATGGAAATGAGCCACAGTCCAGTGCCTCACATGAGGAATCTCTGCTATTTATGGCATGCCTGCACTCAGCAGGAGTTAGAAAGGAGGGAAAGCAGCACAGATCAGGGAAATTATTGTGAGGTATTATAAACCTGCACATATTTGGCAAATCACATTTCCTTGGTAAAGATTATCACTGTACAGCTTATCACTGTACACTGGAATTTATAGGCACAGTAACAGAACCTGGCCTCAGTGCAGACACATTATTAGCACAGAAAAAAATTATATTAGTAACCATATAATGCACCTCAGGGAAAATCACCTCCCCTCTCCTCTGCAGTCCTTTTCTTTCTAGCACAGTCTCATTACTATTTTTCAGTCTTTAGGGCACTGCTTTGTTTCCATCTTTTCCATCCCCTCTCAGGCTCAGAAGGAATAAGCAGCACACTGGGAATGTGTTACACTTGTCTAGTCCAACATCTGTCGCTAGGTGGAAGATTTTTGTGAGAAGTTTTCTGCTCAGCAGAGCTGGGTGCCCATCTTTGCTGGGACTGCACACTGACACTGCCCAGTTGTGGCACAGTGTGCAGGAAAGCAGTCTCCTGCTAAACACCACATGCTCAGCAGCTCAAGACTGAGGCAAATCAATTCCATGCTGAAGACTGGGAGTGAAGTTTTGTTATTTGCACTGTTTTCTCTCCAGGACGTATTGTTTTCATGTCCAGCATCATTGCCTATTTTACTCTGGGAAATGGCATTTATTCTATGACCAAGGCAGCTATTGAAAAATTTTGTGATGCTTTAAGACTGGAAATGAAGAAGTTTGGTGTCCAGGTAAGTGATGTAACAAGAACCTGGAAACCAGGTAAGTGATGTAATGAGTTATGTGAAACAAAGTAAAAAAGATAAAAGCTCAGAACTGCATTCATGGGTGCAGCTTCCTTTTGGAAAGAGGTGGTTTCTCTGTGGCTAATCAGTCAGCTGGAAATCACTGGGAACAGCAGTCCTGGGGGATGTTTTTGGTTCTGAGAAGCTGCTGAGTAACAGTCGGTGTGTCAGCACTGAAACTTCCACATCTCTGCAGTGGAGAAGGTTCCTGACACAGGCCTGCCCGAGCTCCCACAGCAGTGAGGAGCCCAGATGTTCCCTGGGTGGCTGCAAAGAGCCAGACACCGAGTGCTGTGCAGCCAGAACTCGTCACTTGCCTGAGGGGTTCTTTCTCTCCCCTTACAACACCAACTCCTTGCTTCTTGAGAGAACAGCTACGCTGCAAGAGGCAGCATTGTGCAGAGCAGTTATGTTTTATTCTCTTAACCTAAGAGGCTCTAAGAGTGCTCTTAGTGCCCTAAGCAACTCTAATAGTCAAACCTGAAGCTTAGATCCCTAAGTAGCTTCCCTGGGCTTTTTCCTTGGAGTCACTCTACTGCTGAAACACTTTTCTCAAACACTCAAAGTCTTCCCTGCCAGGTTTGCATTGGGGTACTGTTTATGTGCACAGACTTACAGCATTGTTCATAAGCTTTGTGTTGGAAAATATTACAGCTATGCATCCGTTAGCTACCCCTGTCAGATAAATATGAGGGCTGTAAAATACAAGTGACTTTACACATCCTAATACCACACAGCATGATGAGGATTTCTGCTGATTAGCTGAGGATAATCTCAAATGCATGGAAGGGCTTAGTTTAACAGGTTAGCTACTCTGGTTGTTTTGGGACTTTTCCTGTTCCACCTCTGCAGCAGTCCCAGCACATAAGTGAGTGAGCCAGGCTGACAAGCATTTCTGGAGTATCTTTGAGAGGTGTTTTTCTGTTTCTCACTGAATGGAAGATGCTGGCTGGCACTTGCCTGAGAACCTGCCCTGTGCAGAGCCTACAAAACACACAGTTCCTTTTTGCTGTGCTCTGTTGTCCTGTCTGTCCTTTCAGGGGAAAGCTGCACAGAGGTGTAAGGAGCAGATGGAGCTGTAGCTCTGTCCCACTGAACTCTGCCCAGGCAAGCTGACAGCCTACAGGAAACAAAGTGGGTGCCTGCCAGTAGAAAGGCCACAGAAAGTGTGGAAAGGGCAAAAACGAAGCCATCTCTCCTTCCCTCCAAGCCAACTCCAAAAAAGGAAGCTTCCAAACCCCCTTTATTAACAATAAATGTGGGAAGTTGACTATTTAGCTGATACCAAGCACACTTCTCAACAGCACCAGAAGGGAGGGCTCCCGAGGATGCTGTGTGACAAACGTGCTTGAGGCAGCATCAAGCTGCTCCAGCTGTGCACACCATGCCTCTGCTGGGGTTTGTCTGCATCCCTTCCTCCTCCCTGTGCACAGGACCTGCAGCCCAGTCCTCCTGAGAGCAGGGAATCCATCACCTGCAGGCCAGCAGGCGGGGACTGACACAGCTGGGCTGGTGGCTGAGTGGAGACATCAGGGTTTTACATCACCACAGACTTCCCAGAGAATGCCTGTCAGATCCCCAAGTCTCTGACACAGCTCAGCATGGGTTTTCCCCACCTTGTGTTGCAGCCTTTAGAAATCAGGTCAGTCAAATGCCACGGAGCTTTTAATGTTGCATATCTACAAATAGTTTGAACAAGGCTGCTGCTAACTGAGAACAGCGTGTGTGCTGTGAGTGCTCAGCCCGCTCCAAAACTCCCTGGAATACTCAGAAGGAGCAGAACAGCAGCAATACACAAAGAAAACGTGGAGCAGAAAAGGACTTGTGTGCTTTTCATTTAAATCTATGTGCACAAATCTACAGAAATCTCCTCATGGCTTCAGCGAGAGGCAGAGCAGGACCTTTGGTCCCCCTGCTCTTTGCTGACAATACCTAGTTTACTTTTTATTACACCTTCTTGGGAAAAACAGCACTTCTTTCCCCAGCACCTGATAATTTTCTTTGATACCTCCTTTTGTCCCAGATTGGGTCAAAAATCATCAATGGCAAGGTTCTCCACTGAGTGAAAAATCCAAAGTATTCCACTTTGGAGACATCAAAGTCACACTGAAATGCTTGTCTCAGTACTGTCAAAACATTTATACAGTTAAGCATTGTACAGCAATCAAAGATGCTCTATTGCATTCTGTGAGAGTGTGCTGAGTAGTCAAAACAAGAAATTAACATCAGAGCAAAATGAAGAAGTCAGAATAAAGCACCTCTGCAATCTTAAATATTTTACAGGAATACATTTGATTTCAGTTAAGTTTCCAGGGTTAAAATTTCAACAAAGCAGCATTTTCTGGCTGTCTGTAGAGATCTTCTGGTCTGTGTTACTGACTATAGTATTTAATTGAATTCACAGTGACTGATTGCACCTTGGTAAGTTTTACATCTCGCTCTCAGGTCTCTATTATCCAGCCAGGAAATTATGCACGCTCTACAAAAATTCAGCCACCGCTCAGTGCCGAAGAGATCTGGAGTGAGCTGAGCGAAGAGGAAAAGGCTGTTTACAACAAGGAGTACGTTCAAGAGCGGGCTGACTTTTTCAACAGCATCCTCAGTGAGGGAAGCACTAATGGCAATGAGGTGGTGGACGCCATGGTGGATGCTCTAACATCTCCTGCGCCCAAGGCACGGTACATGGTGGCGAAGCTGAAGGAGAAGGCCCTGGTGTTGGTGTGTGCTTTGTTCCCGACTGCTGTGATGGATTCTGTTCTGTCTTATGCTCTGAGCAAGGTAAAGCTTGCATAGCCTGCAGTGGTGCTGTTCCCTGACTCAGGTGAGGCAGTTTATCAAATGTGAAAGGCAGAGCTGGACTGAATGCTCCCGTGTGTTAGAACAGTGACTCCGATTAACCAGTACAAACTCTGGGGAGTGCCCCTAGTCAGAACTGTCACTGACTGCTACAGAAAAACATACAGGACCTCGTGTAAAATGAAAGCATTTGTTTAAGTAACTTTATCTCTTCCCTGTGGAAAAACCCCATCCACATAAGCCACTTTAGTTATTGCCTGGAAAATTTAATACATCATTTTCTAAAGCAGTAGCAGGTTATTGTGTTACAGCCATGATGCAGACAAAATGGAGTGCATCCACAGGGCAGCTGTACACCTCAAGTCATTACAGCAGAGAGCAAAAGCCCTTGCTTGTAGAAACCTGAGTAGCCATATATTCAGGGTGATAGGAAGAGGTTAATGGAAAAGTCATAGAAATGAGCATTGGACCTCAAATACTTTGAATGGAGTTAAATGGCTGTAGCAAGTTAGGAAGTCTTGAAGCTCTGAGCAACCTGGTTTAGTGAAGGGTGTTCCTGCCCACAATAGGGGGGCTGGAATTTCATGATCTTTAAGATCCCTTCCAACCCAAACCATTCTGTGATTTTATGAACAATAAAGTTGTAATGTGAAAACACTGTCCTGGCTAACTACAGTTCAATCCTTTTTCAGGTGTTCTGGATAAATCTTACAAAGCAGACACATCACAGACTTCAGAAAACAAGTTACATATTCCATTTATGAATGAGTATTTAATCCTAAATAATCTCTATCCTTTAATGTCTGGATTAATCAATGTGTTGACCTGAAGTGTAGTGAGAGAGCTAAACACCAAGGAGCCATATCAGTGTGCTTGGAGCTCAGAAAGAACAGACTCAGGTTTGGCTGCTAGTGCAAGGAATAAGGTCTGAAGACAAGAATACCTGCTAACAGGAGAGGGAAACATTAGTAACATTGTCTGTGAGAGTAATTGATCACAGTGGCTCCATTTATACTCTTCTACTAATTGTCATGGCAAAGATTGCTGGTTTACACATGCAGCTCTAAATCTGACTTGGTTATGGTATGGCACAAAATGCAAGACCTCTGGGACCAAAAGAACCCAGAAGAGCTGGGATAAACTGTGGTGGCAGTGGTCTATCCAGGGCAGCAGCACTGAGCATTAGCTTCCCCCATGCCAGGTCTCCCTTATCAAATCTAAGCTCTAAGTTGACACAGTTAACTTTCTCATCTGAGGCACAAATTTCACCCTGTACCTGGGAAGTCTTTCCTAACATATTTAATTAACTGCTGAGAAAATTTATGCTCTCTCCTGGTTGGTAATTTGGGCAGTGTGAATCAGAAAACAGAGTGACAATTCCAGGCTCTCTCCTGGTACACTCAGCAGTGGAACAGCCACTGCACCTGTCAGAGATTGTGGAACATGTTATTTCTCTTTCCAAATGCTGAACCCATCCCTGGAGCTGGCATTGGCAAGAGGACAAGCCTGGGCTCCCAACTGTTCCCCAGACTGTCAATAGCAGGATAATCAGATGATTATCATCCCTCTCCTCATTTAACCACAACTGAGCAAGGCCAAGCAAGGGAACAGGAATGAGGCTTATTCCAACTGAACCAATCAATTCCTTGTCTAGGAGTTCCCCCTGCGTGACCTCAGGGATTTCAGCAGCCCTGCACTGCTTTGGAGCACTGCTTTCGTGCCCTCAGCTGTTCTTTGTGCAGATTGCCCTCCCTCCCTCGCAGTAAGCAGCACTGGCCTCCACGAGCAGCTCTGAAGCCCAGAGGTTTCTCCACCAGGCCCAGGGTACAAGTGCTGATCTCTGCCCCGTTACACTGTCTCCCTTCTCTTGGCCTTTCTAAAAGCTACTGCACTAAGTTGCTGAGAGCCAGCACCATCAGATCTGCCTCACAGACACTAAATAGCTTCCAACTGGAAGTTCTTTATTTGCTGCATATGGGGTGAAGCATGTGATCAATATTTCAATAGCCTCATGTAACATAAGATGAGAAAGACTCCAGAACATTTATTCCCTCACCTTGAAAACTTGCAGTGCACAGGATTTTAAACACGATACAGTGACAGGGTGAGAGCCCATGGGACAAATAAGGCAGTTTGTATTTTCATTGCCACCTAACCACCGGCTTGGAAGCTAACTGAAAACCAGCCACAAAATTATCATCTTTATTCCTTCCATAATTTAGCATTATGATCTGCATATAAAGAACTAATCAAGAGAGTCAGAGTTTGTTATTAACACAACATCCCACTGAAGTCATCTGGAATCCTCCCACTGAGTTCTACGTGTTCCAAGCCACAGTGTTAGACAAGTAAACATGAAGATAAGTAGCAGAAATAATTTCAGAATGCCCGGGCTGAGCAGCAAAGAGACCCTCATAGGAAGTGGTGACGGAAGGGGCACAGCATTCCCTCCTCCACAAGTGCCACAGGGTACAGAAGCTGCAGGATCAGTAACTGAAGGTTTTAGTGGACAAACCTCGCTGACCAAGCCAGTGCTGAACTCGGAGGACTCCCCGAGCTGTCAGCTCTGCAGTGAACTCCCGCCCTGCCCTGGGGCTCCCCTGACTCTGGGGATCCCAGCTGCCACCCTGGGGAGCACTTGCTGGGGGCGCAGAGCTGCTGGACTGCCCCTCCATCCCTTCTCACTGTGCCGCATCCCTGGCTGAGGAGCGCCTCCCTCTTCCTCAGTAACTCTGAAATCACCTTTACCTCAAGTCAAGTTGAAGTGCAGGGGCATACAAGAAGTCTGTACTTACAACATCCAAAATTAAACAGTTTTAGGAAAAATTTAGGACAAAGACAAAAGAAAAAACCAAACAAACCCCCCCTCCCAAACCCCACAACCAAATTTATATTGACATTACTCTCATACCTGAAACACCCCTCTCCTAAAACCCAGTTAACCTGCTGCAGACCCTTTCCTGAGACTGTTTCTCTATGTAGCATTGATCTGAGCTGCATTCAACAGAGAACTTCTTGGCAAAACACATCAGCTTTTGTCACTATTTGTCTTGATAAGCCTTGCTGACAATTTGGGAGTTTTTTCCCTTGAAAACAACCACACCAAAAGAGACTCAGCTTTCCTCCCAAGTCTCTTCTCCAAGGACACAGTATCAAGGACCTAACAGTTATTTCATGGATTTTCTCCTTGATGAAAAGGCCTATTCCTAAGAGTCCATATTAATTGGTAGAAAGAGTCAGTGTTGGTTTTGACAAAGCACTCATAGAAAGAGTATAAAGAAGAGTGAAAAAACCTAAACCAGTTTATAAGCTGTACAATGATGTGAGTGACACCAACAGCTTCATACAGCAGCATCAAAACCAGAAACAGAGCAGATGCCAGGAAATGCAGGAGGAGCAGCCGGGTGGTACCTGCCAGCACAGCCCTGAGGAGGCTGTGCTGCTGTGAGACACAAAGGCTGTCTCAAGGAGCAGACTACTTCCCTTCCCTGAGAGGGCACCGCTGGAGCAATGCCCCACAACAGCTCCCAAGAGGACCTTCAGAATTCGCCAAATGTGTACATTTGTGTCATTCTCCCAAGCTGGCAGGTCTGAATGAGGAGATTTTGGGTGGAATGCACCACACAGCAGATTTTTTGCAGTAGCATCAGAATCCAGAGAGATGAATAGCAGTGATAATTAGTTCCCCAGTACAAAGGCTTAAGTAAAAGCCAGGCAATCCTCAAGCAGACCTTGCAGCTGAAGCCAGGCTGTCACCAGCGCAGCTCCCCCTGATGCCATCAGGACTCCAGGGCCATGCAGCCCCTGTGGTGCGCAGCCTCCCTCCAGAGGTCAGCTGCGGGACAGCTTTGGCACCCACAGAGGAAACCCAGCACAACGCAGAGACAGCCAGCGGAACAGAGGAGGGCAGAGGATGGTCCCACGTGTTCCAGGAGCGACTGAGCAGTGCTCTCAGCCTGGCACCTTCTGCTAGCACCAAACAGAACTTCACAGCCTTTGTATTTTGAATATTTGGAAGCACTCGTTCAGCAGTGAAACATTTTCATGTGCAATTAGATGATTTTGGAGCTGCAAAGTGAGCATGTCAGCAATGGGGACTTTACCTATCACGGGGAAGAATGTATGTCGCAGGAACAATTGAGGTTAATGCTTAAGAGTACATAAAACAATGGGGAAACAGTAATAAATGTCAGTGATGAATGTTCTTTGGAATAATCTTGATTTGGACACGATTCAGCAGTGATCTCATTGTCAGACACAGTGGGCCAAACCTCTGTGCCGTGGGCTCCACAGATTGCATTCGTGCAGGGCACCATGAAGGCAGTGGAGCTCCCGGCGGGCTGTGAGGGATGTCCCGCGGGAAGGGAGGGGAGCTGCTTTCAGCACCCGGGACAGAGCAGCGCCAAGGCCGCCCTCACTCGCGGCACACCGCGGCTGTGGCAGCGCTGCCCTCCGTGAGCGCCCGGCAGCGGCGCACCTGGGGCCCTGCCAGGGCACGGGCACACGGTGCCCAGCCTCGGGCTGTGCTGTGTCTCCCACCTTTGCCTCTGGGAGCTCCAGGGCACGCTCAAGGCTCGGGGCACCTCACGCCTTTCCTCCTCAGGGCAGCCAGTTACCACTGCCTTACTGCGGTCAGTTCCTACCAGCACCATCCCACTGGCACTCCTGCAGTGGCTCGCCACTCCTCCAAAACTGAGCTCTCAGCCAAAAAGAGCCCAGCAGCTTGAGGCTTCAGACCTTGGAACAATTTTCTCTGGTGACCTTTATCTCTATAGGCAGGGAATACTCTGAATTTCTCTAAGAGAATTTTAATCCTATTTATTTTGGAGACGTTGCAGTACCCTAACTCAAGAGCAACACCTCTGCTCTTGAAACCACATTGCTTTGAACCATCCAATATGATGCTGAGCTGCTTCTTGCGTCCTGAATCCTCATTATCACTCTTAAAAAGCTCATGGAAAGCTGATCACCATGAGAAAATAAATCAAGCATAAAAATCTAAACATATACACATGCAGTTACATGCACATTCACATTTGGGGTGGAATACCAAGTACCCAGAGTAGTTATAGTCTGGTTATGGTGTTTCCACAACTTCCAGAGAAAAGGCATGCAGATGTTTCAGACAGGATACTCAGTTACTTCCACATTGAACTAAATTTCAAAATACATGTGCTAACTTTTCTAATGGGAATTTAATGTGTGCTGCTCAACAAAGTGAAAAAGGAGAATTTACCCCAGGCCTTTAGCCAAGACATGTGTCTGCTTATTTGCGGCAACAACAACAGCAAAAATCCAACAAAGAACAGGCTGGGAAACATCTTCTACTGTGCCATGTCTGCATCAACCATTTAGTGCAGCCAAGGAGAAAGAGAAGGGCCTATGTTTTTGCTATGCTATATTTTCCAAAAAGGAAAGCAATACACTGAGGCACAACAGTGCATCACTACCAGTCCAGCCAATTCACACCACAGAGTGCTAACACCAAATAGCTGCTGTACGAATGGCACTCATTGCAGGGTAAATAATGAAACGTTATGCTAAAACAATGTTTTCTCTTGTTGTGACTCACCACACAGTCCCATGGCTTTCGTCAAATGCCTTTCCATGCTGTTGGACATGCATCCAGCTGTGTCACCACTTTCCTGGCAGAAGAAATTTCACATCAAAAAACAATTCTTTTTTTTTTTTTATAATTTATTTCCTAATGCTAGAGGTGATTTGCAAACAATTCAGCTGCCAGGCTTGGCCAGGAACAAGACAGGCAGTGTTGCTGCAGTTATCCCATACATACATGACTACCGGGCCTGGCAGGAGCACTGAGGGCTGGGCTGTGGCACTTGGGAATTCGGCACTAAAGGAAGTGAACGGAAAGGAGATACAGAGCTCGGGCAGTCCCAGGGTTACTGCTGCTGCCTTTTAGAATGACTTAGGCTTCACTTGACAAGCTCTGAGGGTTTTTCCCCATTCACTGGCATTTTTCTCCTGTTAATACAGGTTTTTCTGTCCAACTGACTGTGAACGATCCCATTTCCACCCAAGCTCATTTCCATTATCGTGCTACACAGACCCTATGGGAATGGCCGGGCCGTTGGGGGACACGCGCACCTCGCCACTCCATTTTCTGGCAACTCCAGAAAAGTCTGGAGGCGGAACAACCGCACAGCGTTGCTTCTTCCCACGGGGGAGGAAGAGGAGGCTTGGCGAGTAAGCCAGCTTCAAGGACAGAGAGCCCGCGACACCCAAGTCCTTCCCGAGCGCCCGCCTCACCCCCGGCAGGGCGCTGGTCCGTACCGTGCTGAGGGGAGCCGGGGGCCCTGAGGGGATCCGGTGGCACCGAGGGCACCGAGAGGACGCGGCGGCACCGCGGGGATCCGGTACCGCCTCACGGCTCTCAACCGCCCGACGCCGTTGCCAAGGAGACGGCCACAACGGCGATGGCGGCCGCTGAAGCGGGCGACGGTCCGGCTGCGGCCGCTGAGGAAGGCGACGGTCCGGCTGCGGCCGCTGAGAGTGCGGCGGCGGCCGCTGAGGCGGGCGAGGGTCCGGCTGAGGCCGCCGAGGGTCCGGCGGCGGCCGCTGAGGGTCCGGATGCTGCTGCTGAGGGTCCGGCAGCGGCGGCCGAGGGTCCGGATGCTGCTGCTGAGGGTCCGGCAGCGGCGGCCGAGGGTCCGGATGCTGCCGTCGAGGGTCCGGCAGCGGCCGCTAAGGCGGGCGAGGGTCCGAATGCTGCCGCTGAGGGACCGGCAGCGGCCGCTGAGGGTCCGGCTGCAGCCGCTGAGGCGGGCGAGGGTCCGGATGCTGCCGCTGAGGCGGGCGAGGGTCCGGCGGCGGCCCCCGAGCCCTCAGCGCCCTCCCCCTCAGGTGAGTGCCCCGGGCTGCCGAGGGTCGCTGTCGCCGCCGCTGGGCACGGAGGCGAGAGGGCGGCGGGGATGAGCCGGCGGCTCCCGGCGCTGCGGAGGGCCGGGGCAGAGCGGGCGCGCTGTGAGGGCTGAGCGCAGCCTCGCCGGACACGGGCGCGCTGTGCATCGCCCCCCTCACGGCCCGCGCCTCTCGCCGCTGGCATTACCTCCGTTGGGGTGTCCGCACGGCCAGAGCGGCGCGTCCTTGGCAGGGAACCCCGTTTGGGTCGTCACCGGCTCTCCAGCATCCTCCCCTTCCAGCAGCTTCTCTCCCGTTAAAGCCAGTCTCCTCTATAGGCCGCCCGCTCCTCTGAGTCGCAGTCCGGGGAAAATCAACCAACTGCTGCTGCTCACCTTGTTCCTGAGCGCAGCAGCACCTCACCCCCGATTCCACAGCCTTCCAGAAGCTTCCCTGGAGCACGGCTAGGCTCCTGGCTGAGGAGCCACCCCCCGACTCCACAGCCTTCCAGAAGCTTCCCTGGGGCCCAGCTGCACTCCTGGCTGAGGAGCCACCCCCCAGCCCCTGTCCCACAGGTGTTGCTCGTTAAGCTGATTGCCCGGAGCAGGCAGTCAGGGCTCCATCCAGGTGTGGGCAATCAGGGCTCCATCCAGGTGCGGGCAATCAGGGCTCCATCCAGGTATGGGAAATCAGGGCTGCTAGGAGCAGACAGTCAGGGCTCTAGGTGCTGGCAATCAGGGCTCCATTACACCCCAGTTTCAATGGGTACTGGGGTGACTGGAAGTTGCAAAGCAAGCTGAAGACAAAAGGATGCACATCTTTTGATCCAACCCAGCCATAACCTGGGAACTGCCTTTACAGCACTCAGGACTGGATCTGGGCTGAGATCTCCACACAACATTGAAATCTGCTCAGTTCAAACCTAAGTGCCCATCACTGTGCTCAGCCGTGCCTCAGCCCAAGGCAAGGCACCATTGGAGAATTAACACCGAAAAACCACAGCACTGTAGGCTACTCATGAAACTGGAATTCGGTTTTGGGAAGATTTTGCTGCATCACTCCTATTAAACCTTAGTCACAGCTAAAAATCCAGTGCAATTATTCACATAAAGCTGTAAATACAGCATGGCACTGTTACCATATTGGCTCCTTTTATACTGACATATAGGGCTCGTGCTTATCTCTGTGCCCAGCATGCAAAGAGATTAAATTTAGAAAGCGCTCAGCTATTTTCTCCCACTAAAGATAAAACACATGAAAATTTTGTTTACTGGTTTGTGAATAGAGATAATTAAAGGGATGTTTTCAACTGGAAATGTTGAAACTGACAAAACTTCTGCAAGCTTTTAAGGCAGAGTCACAAGTGCTTCCAGCAGCAGTCAGGCAGCAGGCTTTGACTGGGAAACAGGGAATGAGATCAGTGGCCATCAGAAGTTCCCTCTCTATCAATCTACCTCCATCACAGCTTGGAAAGCTTTGTGGGAAAACAGGAATCCAACTAAAATTATTTTCTTAATGCCAGGTGTACTGAGAAAAGGGTTAATCTGGATTTGAAACGAGTTCATGCTCTCCATCAGAACAATGACACAAGCTGGCAGAATGAAGGTAGCGAGTCTGTTGATGTTTGTCAGCAGATAAAATGTCTGCTAAGCAAACACTACAGGCTTGGGGTTTGTGGTTACAGCTTCATGAAGCCCTCCCAGAGCCCAGCTGTCTCAAAGCCACAATAACAATCCCTCATTTTCCATTACACCACCTATTGTAGGTGAAGTGATAAAAAATATATGAAATACACAACGTTGGTAGCATTTACTTCTAGTAAATTTACTAGTATTTACTACTAGTCAATTTACTCATTTACAATGAAAATTGACAGGATGTTGCAGTTTTCATTTTAGACGCTTTTTTCCCTTGCTTATAACTTTACATGACCCTGGGTAGAATTTCTTATCCCACCTGTGTTTCTTTGATGCTGCTACTTTAGAAGCTTCTAATAAAACTTGATCCAGTCACTTTCAAAAAATGCTGCAAAGAAATATTAACTGTAACAGTTAATATTGTTGTTTTCATGTAAATTGTTGGTTCTTAATGCTTTGAAGCAAAGACTTTGAATTGGGTAAGGACTCAGTGGTGGCTGAATTGTGATAACAGACTTGACTGTTGCGATAAAAATAATTTCACTTCTGCTCATGGAAATAATTTTTTTGCTGCATGTGAAATATTAAAAGAATACTGTCATAAGCAGCTCAAAAGCACCAGAAAAAAATCTGATCAGAACTAAAATGGCACTCAATTGTACATTCCACTGTGAGCAAAAATGAAAGTGTGCAGTAAGTGTAAGGTGTGCCATCAGTCTCATGTCCAGCATGGGGCACCTTGGTTATAGGGAGCAAGTAGCTCAAGGAATCTCCAAGATAATCCATGAAATAAATCCAAATTCATACGTATTGAATGTTATATCCATTTGTTCACATTTGTTCATCAAAGATTAGTTACTAACAGGTTTTTACCAAGTGCACTTCTGCTCATGTTCTGTGGCATTACTAACCTATGTCCAAGGAGAATGTCACTTCAGTGTTTGCTGCTTCAGAGAGAGAAAGAAAGGAAGAAAAAGCAAGTTTTCATCCAAAATAAGTTCCGGAAAAAAAATCCAGATGCAAATCATGAATAACAGTGGGAAGAAAATTTTATGGAAGTAAACCCATGTTCCTTACTGCTGCAGGATGGTGGGAAGTGGAACAAAAGCATAAAAGAACATTTAAGCTTGTCAGTTCCATCTAAGTATCTTTCTTTTGCTGAATTTCAGTGGTGTAAGTACTGTAAGAGCCTTCCCTGCAGAACATTCCTGCTGCTCCTCCTCACAGCCCCTGCAGAGTTTGCATCACAACTTTTCCCTGTGCTCAGTAGCTCAGTAACAGAAAAAAAACTTCCTGTACTGAGGATTTGCTCAGAAATTTCTTCAGGCTCTAAAAGGCAGGCTCTGTGGGGTCTCCAGTGATCCCTTCTAGCAGGGCATTACTCTGAAGTACCCTTATTTCTCAGCTCTGAGCTTCAGGACTACAAGGTTGCTATAGGTGTAATTCCCGTCAGCAGGATAAAAATCTCTGCATTTTTTCCCTCTCACTGGACAAAATGTCACAGGAAGAACAACATGGTAGGGATGAGAATGAACAAGCCACAGGTGACAGATTTAAGTTATTGCTACCTGAAGATTTAATTGTTTGATGTAAGAACATACCTGTTTATGATCCAAATGAGGGTTATGTAAGACCTAAACAGAAAAGGATTTAAGTAATTCCATGTTTAAATGGAGAACATCTGAGAGCAGCCGATCTATTCAGAGCAGGTTTCATTGCAGAGAGAAAGTCTTTGCATTTTAGTACCCACTTGAACACTTCTGCAAGGGAGCAGCTTCTGATAACAGCACCTTCACCCAGCACAGTGGGGTGCACAGGGAGGGAGCTGAGGGCCTTGTCTGGCAGGGAAAACAAGAGGCACAGTGCTCAGAAATCTGCCAGCAGTTGACCCAATCTCTGTTCCAAAACTAGGCTGGACACAGAACTTCCAAAGAAATGAGAGGCAATAGCTACAGAAACTACAACTGGCAAGTTGTACCTGTGGTACAAAAATTACCTCTCTGTCCATTCCCAACATGATTCACCTTCAGCCAACTTTTTCTACTTTTCCTGCAGTTTTCCCTCAGGCTTCCTCCCCAGAATGGGAGGTCCTGCCTGTTGGAATCGTGCATCCCTCTGCATCTCTCTGCAATCTCCCCTTGTCACAG